CTAAGTATTTATACAACTATTCACATTCAATTACAAGGATAATAATAAAAAAAAAATAAAGAAGTAAAAAAAAGAATGTGGTAAAAATTATAACTAATATAATTGTAAAATATCTCTGTCATAAAAAAAAACATATTCAGAAGAAATAATAGAAGAATATAAAGAGTCTTCTTGGGTAATGGATAATAAAAAGAATTTTATTAATACCTAATTAATTGCTTATTATTTTCGTTTTTGTTAATTTCATAACAATCTTAATAAGAAATTTTTTTTGTGAATTTAATAAACCCTTGAATAAGGGTTATTTAGAAGAAAAGAAAGGATTTTTTACTAAAATTTTTTCATATCAAATGGAAAAAGCACAACCATCAACAAATCCAATTGATCTAAACAGTGAATGTTTTGATCCTATTTCATTTATTAATAGGAATATAGCCATATTTGATTGTAATAAATTAAATAAATTAGCAGAAAGTACTATGAAAGAACAAATTGCAATTCAAAAATCAGTGTTTGAAACACTCCAAAAACAAGACCGGCTTGAAGAAGAAGCAACAAAATCATTAAGAATAGCTCCTGATAAATTTAATGATGTTAGACAGTCTTTAAATTCACTTAATGGAGATACTCAATACACTGAAGCTTTATTGAAAGGTATTTGTGATGGAGTTACTTTGTTGGGGTTAGCAAGAACAAACATCGGATTTGTTGTTAAATTACTTCATCATCTTCAACAATTAGATGTTTTAATACAAACTTGTGAACAGGCATTAAAAGATAATTTACCGTTAAGTGCTGCTGATTCTTTAAGAACTGCAAAATTAATAATTGAGACATATGCTGATGTGAAAGATGTTGATGTTTTTGCAACTACTATTATGAAACTTCATCATCTTTGTAATGATATAATAACAATAACCAAAGAAGTTGTTGTTCAATTTGAATCAAATGGAAGTAATAAACGACAAATGAGAGATTATTTTAGTTTAGTTGATGAATTATTTGATGAATATAAACATAGTTTTATCTCTTATTTAGCAACTCATCTAACATTGGGATATACAAATGCATTTCCGTTGAATGCACCACAGTCAAGTCTTTCCAATATTGACCAAAGATATAAATGGTTTTTAGATAAAATTAAAGTTGCAAAATATAAATATGATAATACATTACCTTCAAGTTGGAGATTTTGGGAAGTTATGGCACAAGATTTTTGTGCCACTTCAAAAGAGTCATTCCATGAATTACTTGAAAAATCATCAAAAGGTGATGCAGAACTCTTTACTACATGTTTAGTAAAAGCAATAAGAACTACAAGAGCGTTTGAAAATGAAATACTAAAAAGAGTATCAACCAATAATGATAAACCTTTAATTTTTGAAGGAATTATTGGAAAATGTTTTGATGGATATATGGATTTTTATATTGAAAAAGAACGAGAAAATGTTATGACATTCTTAAATAAATTTATAAAAGAAGAATTTTTTGAGGTTGATGATGGGGTTGTTGTTTTGTTATCATCTAAAGACTTGATATTATATTATAGAAAATGTAGTGAAAGATGTGCTTCATTAACACGTGGAGAACCATTGATGGAATTATGTAAGGTTATTGCAAGTTGTACTGTAGAATATGCTAAAAGTCTTCAACAACGAATGAGTACAACAAATAAAAGAGAAATGATAAAAAGACAATGTCTTGTAATAAATACATTAAAATATATTTATTTTCGTATTGAACGGTTATTAACAGTATCATTTGCTGAATTAGGTGAAGAAATTAAAGAGCCTATGACAAATATGCAAAGTGGAATTATTAAGATTGTTGGAGAAATAGTTGAACAATTAGTTGTAACTATACTTAAACCAGTTGATGACATTATGACAAATATGACAAAAGAAAATTGGTCCCCAGTTGAAGGAGAAACAAATTGGGAAATAGACTATGTTGATAAAATGACGATTTGTATTAAAAAGAATATGGGTGTTATTGATGATTATTTAGTTAATGATTATTATCTTCAAATATGTGAATTAACAACTGCACTTTTTTGTGAAAAATATATTGATACTCTTTTTAAATTAAAAAGAATTAATGAATTTGGAGCACAAATGTTGTTAATGGATTATAGTCAAGGAAAGAATTTCTTTCTAAAATTACCAAATAGAAAAAATCCTATTACACTTGATGGAATTGGAGATACAAGTGTAAAAAATACTAGTTATGACCTTAACGAATATTCAACTGAATGCTCTAAAGAATATTCAAAAGCAGAAGGAATTTTAAAAATTTTACAAATTACCGATAAAGACAAAGCAATGTCTACTTGTCAATATTTCTTCCCAGAAATGAGTTCAGACTTTTTCCCAAAAGTTTGGGCATTACGTGATAATAGGATGTTGAGTGCTGTAACTTCTAAGTTAAATTTCTCATTTTATAAAGGTAAAAAAGAACAAATAGCAAAAGCTTTCTCTACAATCTTGAATTAATTCAGTTTAAAATGTTTTTCAAAAATAAAGTTTTAATAATTATTTTTATTTAACTACTCTAATTTTTTCTTTTAATTTTTCAATTTTTCAATTATTCGACTTTTTATTTTGTTATTCTTTTCAAAAGCTATTTCATTATTTCTTAAAACTTTATTTTCAATTCGTTTATGTTGGTTATGACTTCCTTTAATTTACCTTGTAAATGAATAACATAACATTAATTTCTTTCGTTTTTTTTTGAACTGTGAAAAACTGAGGAATATTTTTCTTTCGTAATATTATTTTCATACTACGAATTATAATATTAATTTTTATAATAATTTCATCTAATTATAATATTTTATTTATTCACTGTTTTTGTTTTTCATTGTATTTTTTTTTAAGAAAAAGAGAGCTTCTACCAATCTCTGTTGCATCTACATTGTTCGTTTTGTTTGATTAAGAAGTATAAATTTAAATCCAGTTAAATAGTTCAAGATAATTAATAGAAGAGGATGGAGATTAAGACATACCTTCCATATATTAAACCATTGTTTCTTGGATTGTGTTTCTTTTTATTATTATGTGGATATCAAACCACTCAAAACTTTCAGTCAGGAATTAATAAGAATGATGGATATATTTCTATTGCATTAGTGTATGGTTTTTGTGGTATTGGTCAATTTGTCTCACCAATTCTCGTAGATTTCTTAACTCCTAAATTCTCATTATTTTTTGGAGGTATTTGTTATGTATTTTATATTGCAACAAATGTTTATTTAATACGTTCATTATATTTTATAGCATCAGGGATATGTGGATTTGGATCATCATTATTATGGGCTGCTTCAAGTACATTACTTTCTGGATACGAACAAAAATGTTCACATCCATCTTACATTTACACATTGTTTTATGTACCTGTTTACTTTAATTTTCTAGGTAATATTATTCCCATGATCTTTTCACCATCAACTCCTGCTATATTATTTATGGTATTAACATGCGTCACTGCTCTTGCTGTATTTCTCTATTTATTTTCTTTTAACTCTCCACCAGTTCCAATGGAAAATATGAAAGAATTATTATTGGCTTCACTAAAATGTTTTTCAAATTGGAGACTTGTTCTTTTATTTCCATTAGCTTTATTATTTGGATTTAGTCGTTCATTTTATTATACTTCAATGCCAGTTCTTGCACCATTAAATGTAACATCATATATATTTATTTCTATGGGAATAACAATGACATTATCTACTTTTTGTTGGGGATTTCTTAATAGTAAATTTACAGAAAGAATAACATTATTTATATCTGTTTTTGCAGAGGCTCTTGCTGTTATTCTTGGTTTTATTATTAATGAAGTTTATCTTCATAACACAACTAATGTTCCACAAAATGATATTGGACTTGATGTTTGTGTTTGTATACTTGGTGGCATTGCTGGAATTGCTGATTCTGGATTAGAAAGTATTACTATTGCTCTTTTAAATAAAATTTGGCCAAAACAAGTAGCTCCATTAAGTGCATGGAGAGTTGTTTATTATTCAGTGATGTGTATTGCATTATTATATTCTTCATATATCACAACAAGAATTATTTTAATAATCTTTGGAGCAAGTGCAATATTTGGATTAATAACATTAATATTTATTAATATAATGTACAACAAAATTTATAAAGAATATGCATTAAATAATAGTGAAGCAATAAAACAACAAGAAGAAAAACAAGAAACAACGGCAATTATGAATAAAGAAGAAAATAATTAAAAATTTTTAAAACAGATTAAAGGTTTAAAATAAAAATTATAAAATTTGTTATTTTTGAAAAGAAAGAAAAGGAAAAACAGTAGTTGAAATATCTTTAGTCTTTAATAGTATTATAAAGAAGAAAGCGATTTCAACACTGCGATTTTAATAAAAGAAAGTTTACGCAGTGATGGTAACCGAGAAAAAATACATAACTAGTTCGTTTAATTCTTTTTAATAGAAGAATCCAAGAATTCTTCCTCCAGTATGTTTAGCTCTAGCTTCAGTATTGTCAAGAATACCATATGATGTAGTCAAAACAAGTGCTCCAAAA